AACTCACGATGGAACAAATAGTGGCGCCAATGTCGGACCGCACGTACGATCGCATAAAACTCCACATCGTAGGTGCTGTAACGACTACGAGGTCCCGAAAGCTTCTCACTGAAAAAGGAAACCGGGCGACCATCCTGACTGAGAACAGCCCCAATCCCGACCTTCGAAGCGTCACAAGACAACTCAAAAGGCCGACCAAAATCCGGGAGAACCAAAACGGGCGCAGACGTGAGCTTCTCCTTAATCACGTCAAAAGCCGTCGCGGCCGCCGGGGTCCATGTAAACACCTTCCCCGTAAGGCAATCCGTGATTGGCGCGACGATGGAGCTGAAGTGAGAGATGAACCGACGATAAAACGACGCCAGTCCATGAAAGCTACGCGCCTCCGTGAACGTCGTCGGTGTAGGCCACTCACGAATCGCCGAGACCTTCGACTCATCGACCCGAATACCATCGCCCGAGATGAAGAACCCCAAAAAAAGCACCGACTCCACCAAGAAGGAGCACTTCTTCGGCGCAGCAAAGAAGGACTCAGCCCGAAGAATACATAAAACAGCCCGAACATGCTCCAAGTGCTCCTCCAGTGTCCGACTATAAATGAGAATATCGTCGAAATAAACGACGACGCATGTGCCAATGAGATCACGAAGGGCCTGGTTCATCACGCGCATGAAAGTACTGGGCGCGTTAGAAAGGCCGAAGGGCATCACCAGCCACTCAAAAAGACCCTCACGGATTTTGAAGGCCGTCTTCCACTCGTCGCCGGGACGGATACGAATCTGATGATACCCGCTACGAAGATCGAGCTTCGTGAAAATAGTAGCCCCATGAAGCTGGTCCAGCAAATCATCTAAGCGAGGAATCGGGAAACGATAACGTACCGTAATTTTATTAATAGCCCGACTGTCCACACACATACGCCAAGCCCCCTCCTTCTTGGGGATCAATAAAGCTGGAACCGCACAAGGACTCATGCTCCTGCGTACGACTCCACGTTGAAGGAGCTCCTCTACCTGTCGACGCAACTCCTCATGTTCCATTGGACTCATCCGGTAGTGTGGTCGGTTGGGCAACGACGCGCCCGGTACCAGATCGATATGGTGCTGGATATCCCGAAGCGGGGGCAGCCCAACTGGCAGCTCATCCGGGAACACATCAGCAAACTCCTCCAATAAAGGTCGAACGGCGTGAGGCGGCTCACGGTCCTGTAGCACATCCGTGGCTAACAACAATAGGATCGTGGGCTCGGACCGCATCTCTGCCTCGAACGCCGAGCGGGAAAGAAAAAGCACCGGTGAAGAAGACGGGCCAATCGAAGGGCTCGCCGCCGGACGCGCCGGTCCCGGATGTAAGACTATACGAACCCCGCCAAACATGAAGCTATAGGTATTAAGACGACCGTCATGCGTGGCAGCCCGATCGTACTGCCAAGGTCGACCCAAAAGCAAGTGACATGCGTCCATCGGGACCACGTCACACCAAATCTCATCCCGATACTTAGGTCCAATCGAGAAAGACACCAAAGCACGCCTATCAACAGTGACTGCGTTATTCTTCTGAATCCAAGCAAGAGAATAGGGACTAGGGTGAGCAACACTCGGTAAGTGAAGTTTATCCACGGCCACCTGGGAAATCACGTTCTCGCATGAGCCGGAATCAATGATGAAACGGCACACACGATCACCAACCGTACACGTGGACTCAAAAATCTGATGCCGGCCCGCAACCTCCTCATCGAGCACCTTAGGGGCCAAACATGAACGCCGAATAACGAGACTATGACCCACATCCCCCGTAAGATGCTCCTCCACAACCTCCGGCTCCTCGTCAAAAATGGGAGGCCCGTCATAAATGTCGCCCTCCTCCGTATATAAAGCACGGGACGTGGAACCACGAGGGCATTCGGACTGCCGGTGACCCAATTCGCCGCAGCCAAAGCATCGAAGCCCGCCGGTGGGACGAGCCGCCGGTCGCTGAACGCCGTTGCCCGGACCCGCCGAATGTGCTGCGCCGCGACCCATGGCGGGGACCACCGCTGATGACCCCGCCTGCCCGGTGCCAGCCCCACGACCGCCGCCAGCCGAAACGCCATTCACAAATCCCGAGCCCCGACGGGCCTGCTGCTGTTCAATGATCAGGGCCCGCTGATGGGCGTCCGAGACAGAATCCGGCATAAATAAATTCAGAACATCCTGATATGATACACGTAATCCCCCGATATATTTGGAAATCAGCTGGTCCTCCGTTTCACGTGCATCAATCCGGGTCAGGAGACGATAAAACTCCTCCGTGTATTCGTTAACAGATCTAGGCCCCTGACGTAAATTTTGAAATTTTTGGTAAAGAGTACGCGTGAAATTAAACGGGAGAAACTCACGCTCCATATGTTTCCGGAACTTGGCCCAAGAAGTGATCTGAGGCTTGCCCATGCGATGCCGCCGACCCTTAAGTTGATTATACCACGCAGCCGCGTGGTCACGTAACCTGGTAGCGATAAATGCAACACGACGATCCTCCGGCACCTCCTTGAAATCTAAGATCGACTCAACCGCAGCGATCCAGTCGAGAAACCCGCTGGCGTCGAGCCCGCCCGAGAACTCTGGCACCTCCACCCGGAAACCCGCCTCCCAGCGACTGTCACCACCCCCCCGGCGGTGGCCGTTGAGATCGGCGTCCTCCTCAGGCCCGTAGAGATCGGACCGCTCGCCAACAGAAGCATCCCGCCGCCTCCTCGGACCGCCGAAAGGGTTGACGTCCGAGGCGGTACGACCGCTGTCCGTACTCCGGCCGCGCGACGAGCGTGGGGACGGCGAACGGGGAAACCCGAACGGCCCCCTCCCACCACGGCCGCCGCGTGTTCCGCCGCGATTACCCCGGCCGCGGGCATCGCGTCTCGTGTCCTCGTCCGCCATCAAGTGGCGCATGGCATGTCGGATTTCCTCGATCCCCTCAGCAAGACCTTCGACACGGCGATCCACCCGGTCGATTTGGAACCCTAGATCGTCGGTTCGGCGATCCAAATCTTCGAGATGGGCATCCCGTCTATCGTTGTCTCGTTTTGGCGGCATCTTGAATCGTCCCGACAGCTGATACCAACTGATGCAGCAACGTGGTAGACGAAAGGAATATAAGAGAAAACTCAAGAGTTCTTAATTTTATTCAATGTTCATCGATCAAACTTCATAAGAGAGGGACAATATATAGAGTCCTATGAAAGAGAATCCTAATTCTAATTATCTTGTGCAACAAGATAATTATCTTATTTATTCCTAAATAATAAAACACTCCTAAGGAAATAAAATATCTCTTACTAAATAATAATAGGAAATATAATATGTAGAATAATCTAGATGCGTAGACGGTCGAATTTGTCGAGAAAGGCTAGGGCGGTCTCGTCTTCATCAGATACTTTATGAAAATTTTGGGTTCCGTCGAGATGGTTGGATAATTGAGGGGATTAGTTTACTGACTAGCCGACCCGATGGTTCGTGGAATAATGGAAACTTGAATAATGATAGTGTTCTTCAGAGGATATATTATTATTTTCCTCCTTACTCCTATCTGTATTTGCATTTAGAGTTGAAGCAGGTCACGCAGGCACCTACAGTGATCACACAGTTTGAGGATGTTACCACTTTTTACGGGGGAGTGCCTGATTTTGAGGGTACGTCCACTTCGCATGTTCGTAATTTTGGCGAAGGGACAAGCTCAACAGTTAGAGAAGAAACCGATGATGATTTTATTCCTGATGAAGACGATTTCACAGATGATACATCAGAAACGGATAGATCTATAAACGAGGAGAGTGAAACAGAGTTTATTGAAGAGCACCCATTTCCTAGTAGCGGTCAGCACGTGTATCGCGAGATGGGTGAGTGGGACCCGTCGTGTGTAGACCGAGATGAGCATGCTGTTTTACGTTGGAATGGAAATGTTGAGACTATACGTTTAGGTACTGTTTTTCGGTCCAAGGAAGAAGCACAGATTGGTATAATGAATTGGAACGTCAGTAGATTGAGGGAGGTTAAGACAACATATTCGAATAAGAAAACATTCAAGGTGGTGTGCAAGTCTGTCGAAGCTAAACCTTGTCCGTGGAAGGCTCGGGTGACGCACTGCACACGGACTCATGAACTGTGGGAAGTAACGGAATGGACCGAGAGGCATAGTTGCATGCAAGAAGCGGATAAAAATGACCACAGAAATGTAACCGCCACAATGATTTCCAACCTTGTCATGACCAAGATTCAAAAGAAACCCGAGTACAGTGTTACCCTGATACAGGAAGATGTAAAAAAATGTTGGAAAGTCGATGTGAGCTATAAGAAGGCGTGGCACGGGAGGAAAAAAGCCATCGACCATTTGTATGGCACTTGGGAAGAGAACTTCGCACAACTTCCTCAGTAAGAAAAAATTTATTAAAAATGTACGTGTTATTTGTTTGTCTCACTATGTTTATGTATTGACGATTACGTTTTGTAACTTGCAGGTTTTTTGCGGCGCTTCAAAGAGCTAATCCCACTACAGTTGTACAGTGGATTGTGTGTTTCATATGTTGGATTTTGCGTTTCATTTCTTGGATTAGTTGCTCGAGCAGGTATATTTGATTTTTGGGTAAATTTGATTTTTTCAATTTTTTTTTTTATTTTTTTCTTCAGTAAACCGTATTTCTGAAATACGGTTTCTGTACAAAAAATATAAAATAAAAAATGACACCGTATTCAAGGAATACGGTTTCATAATCAAATAAAAATATTTTGTAAAACGTATTCATCGAATACGTTTTAAAAAACGTATTCTTCGAATACGTTTTTAGTTAACCGAAGACCACTTCTCTATTATTTTTCTTCTTTATTTTTTGATTAAAACAGTTAAATAAAAACGTATTCACGGAATACGTTTTTTGGAAAAATTAAAATTTTGAAAACCGTATTCCTGGAATACGTGTGTTCTATTTTTTTCTACTCCTTTTTTTCTTTTTTTTTTTTTTCCACCGATTTTCTTAAAGTTTTTTTTTAGTAAATATTTCTACAATGGTTGGCTTTGTAATTTGAGTCCACACTTTACTATTCACACGCCCAAAAAGGTATCCAACTCAGAGAACAAGACAGCATAGGACACATCACTTGAAAACCTCAAACGGATCAAAACATTTCAAGACAACAAATGGCAAACTAAAACAGTATGTATACTCTTTGTAGCAGAAGTTGCCTCTGTAACAATGCTAAGTGTTACTGAGAGCAGGCGAATAACAACAGTAACACTGAAGAACACAGCAAGTCAATCATATATCTCCTGTGCTTCGATTATGCTATGCTGGCTGAAAGTAAGAAAACAAAAACCCAAAAAAAATAAAAATTATTACACCACAATATTCCACGAATATACAAAAGGGAATAGATTTTTGGTTAGACGAGCTTACTAGTCATCCTTAGTGATACGGTAGTACTTTTCAGCATGTTGCCGCTGGCCAATAAGTTGGGCAAAGCGCTCATCATGAGTGATCACGATAAGCTGAAAATTCTCTTGGCCTTTCCTGTCCTCCATTATTCTGGTGACGTAAAAATTAAGAAATTCAGCAAAAGTTTGATTTACAGTATCATAGTTAATTTTTGAGGTCATCCACACACCTTAGGAGAGCCGAAGCAAGAGATTCGGAATTAGGACCATCGAGATTAGTGGTTGGCTCATCAAGTGCCAATATTCCACAATTCAGGCAAAATGTTTCTGCTAATGCTAATCTTATGATAAGTGAAGCAAGGACCTGAAAATGACACATCAGATTGACAAAACAGAAAAGGCAAATGACAAAAAGATATGGCAAGAAATGTCTACAATGTAAAGATCGTGCCTTTTGACCGGCACTGCACCTTCCTCGCATTTCTAACTGTGCGTCACCAGTTTGCATTAAGACCTGAAATCCGACCAAATATTAGTAGTTAAATTAACACATGAAAAATAACTCAAATAACCCAAAGAACACAAAATAAGTTCTTCACTTTTCTGCTAAGTTCCATCTCTATAACTTTTAATAGCTAGGGGTGGAGATATTATCAGGAGCCTCATTCTTTAAGTAAATCCAGATCTTAAGTATAAAGTAAAACAGATCTTAAGTTTATCAAAAGATGAGCCCTTAATGAGTATCTCATTATGCAGCAGGTCTACTCCTAGATGATACTGCAAAAGTCGAGCAGTAAGGAGCGGCAATACAAAAGTATGTAAACTATAAAAACGAGTCAAGGTCGATTGTCCCACACTAGCACTTCCGCGTAACAATTCTACCAAAGGCGATCCTATTACAGGAATAGCCTCAGGTACACCTGTTACAATTTTGACCGCCCAATAACCAATTTGGTCCCGAGGTAAGGAATAACCAGTTACACCAAAAGATGCGGTCAATACTGCCAGAACCACACCTGTAACCCAAGTTAATTCGCGAGGTTTTTTAAATCCACCAGTGAGATACCACCAAGTTCACAATAAGAACTTCCTATGTTGAGACCCTAGCATATTCTTGCATTTGATTATTTGTACAGATATCAATTTGCATGCTCTGTATGATTTAGCATAATACATGAATAAATAGTGGATGTAAAGAATATAAACCAGGTCGTTGTTGCTTTAAGTGTTCACTGAGCACAAAGCAAATGAATAAATTTGTCTAGCAAGCCTTTCAAACTCTCATGTGCAAACATTCTAGTTTCAGGGACTTAGTAGACAGTTTCGAAAAACCTCCCATCATCAAATTTGCATGTCTCAATTCATCGAGATGTTAAAGCAGAAATAAAAGAAACAAACTCCGGTTACCTTATAGCTGTATGATCGAGTACCCGCACCATCAGAATCTGAGTGAATGCTGATATAATCTATATCTTGTCCCCTGTAAGTTTGCTGCCACAGTTCCCTTATAATCTTATTTATCTCCTCCATTTTAATCGTGTGGAAGCGCATGAGTGCTCTGAGGTTATGGAGGAAATTATCATGAGACAATCAGTTGTTTTGGTACTGAATACTTAAAAAAACAAGAAATAAAATTTTAAGAGCTCACTTGTCAAGTGCTTTGTAATAACGATCTAGATCCTTGTTTGCCATCTCAGTCGTCTGTCATGAAAAAAGAATCAGATAAAAAACTTTTAGTCCACTAAAATTCAACAAATGTCTTCTGGAGGGCACAAGGGGTGGGGTTAAAGAATTGCAACTCCATAAATCACCTTCAGCTGAATTAATTGATCAAAGTAACGTTTGTCGATGTCTTTATATTGCGCCTGCTTGAGATCAACTCTGTTCCTTTCAATGTTGCTTCTGTAAACAGATAGTGTGCCACGGCGCTTATTCAACTGTAACCAGAATCGACATCAGTTATGGAAATATTGGAAATATTAGTCAGGATTCACACTATCATTAGCACTATCAATGCTAATGGGAAGAGTTCAGAGCCAAATGCAGAACTGAAACTAATAACATAAGTTAGGAACGCTAAATTAAAACATAGAAAAATGATATTGATACTTGGAGTATGCAAATTTCCTTTTTCAGCACATTATGCAACTACAATCATACACCAGCCATCATGAACTTCATAAGCACAAATCTTGCCTGGACTTTCAATGGGACACATTTTTCCAACAAGTTATCTCTTATCATTAGTGCTTAATTTTCAAACCTCCGTAAGAAGACTATCTCGTTCTTGATTGAGCTTAGAATGCAAAGCTTCAGTGTTGGAAACACCACCAATCTGCAGAATTCTTTCTTCAAGTGAGTCAATCTCCCCAGTAAGCTCTTCCACTTGTCCCTTCAATTTTCTGTATTCCAAGTTGTCTTCTATATTGCGCCTTAATGTTGCCTGCTTTTGAATCACCTCCCTACTTTTCTCCACTTCCTTCGAAATTTCATTCTTCCTGATATCACAACTTTTAAGCTCAACCTCCAACTGAGTTTGTTTTTCTTGTAGTCCTTTTAATTTGTCGTCCTTATTTTTATCATGGCTGGAAAAAGGAACTAGTGAGGAATAACATCAATGGACGAGGAAAAAAAATACAAAATTCTATGAGCAGAGGGTATACTCTTTGATTTTAGAAATAGTATGAAGCAATGCACCAACTTCCTGATCATTTTCTCTATACTGCTCCTCCTGCAAGTCGCGTTCACGATCGAGTTTACGTTTCAGATCATTGTAGTGATCATCCAGTTTCTTTCTCTCCTTTGACAAAGGTGCAAGAGATTCTGCCAAATGCTGAAAAAATTGGACATGTTAATGCATAATGAAGTTCCAGATAAGTAGTTACATGGACAATAACCAACTTACAAGAAATACTTGAGCCAAACAATGTTGAGAAAGGATATACCATTCTTTGCAGATAAAAAAGATAACCAACATATACAACTGTTCCCTTATCTATAGATGACTCAAATAAACAACATTTGGAAAATGCATTATTTTTTCAGCAACAAGAACATGTTTTGCTACATATAAAAAATTGAAGCAGCTTTTGCAATGCGAAATAAACCGTTAATAGAGGTTACCACACACAAACAGACATCGTCATCATCCACAATATAATGATTATATACAATATACAATATATATACAATATACAATATATATATATATCATGATGAGTAAACTATCAAGCAATCTAAGATCCCTGATATATAGTAAACTATCAAGCGATCTAAGATCACTGATAATAAGTCAAGAAGTGAACCTCCGGAAAATTTCTCTCGCTAAACCGACCAATTGGTCCCTCATCTAATGTCTCAAGCACGAGACACCAAAAGTACAATCTAGGGAAGATGCTTACAATTCTTGAAAGTAGTCTAGGACTGATAGAATAACCCCAATACACCGTCAATGGTGAAACATATTGTTCTATGATATCTGAATGCAAGTGCAACAAATGGGCCTTGCAAGAAAACTATCTTCAAGGAACATAAAATAGATCAAATCTCAAAATCCAAAAGCACCATGTTCAGTAAAATATGTACCTGATTCTGAGACGAGAACAGTATTTATTTTTTAAAGTGGAAGTTTGATTAACCAGCAGCAAAAAAGAAAATTACCAGATAATGGACTTCATTAACAAAATTTAAGTCATTCCGACAACTAAACTGATTAATTTGTTCTTCTACTTCTTAAACAGGTCACACAAAAAGGCATTAAAGCTATAAAAACATTCCTCCAAAGCTTGAAACAAAAATTTTGAAAGTAAATCAACACAATCAAGGGCAAATTTAGTTTCAACCTCTAATACGAGCTGGTCAGGTAATGATGTTTCTGCATACCATGTAATATGTCTGCCTTAAAAGAGTAATAATTTAAGTGGGTAAACTACAAGCATGAAACTCATCACGAGAACACAACTCTCGGTAGTAATATAAAACTGGAACTTTGCCTAAACAAAGGCATCATGCAAGACTCCTGGAATACACACTATCAAAGAGGTCAATTATTTCAGCTACAACACATGGAGAATAAATCAATTGAATTTTGAAATATTGAGTTCAATGCATGAACTATACCATAAGGCATGTACACCACCAAATGCACTCTGATTCTTCGTAACTTTCCAAATTGATGTCTCAACAAAAACTGTTTTCCACAGGTGAGTAGTATTTCATTTTTCTTAGAGAAATTAGAAACTTTTTAAAGCATAACTATACCATAAGGCATGAACTATAGTTCAATGCATGAACTATACCATAAGGCATGTACACCACCAAATGCACTCTGATTCTTCGTAACTTTCCAAATTGATGTCTCAACAAAAACTGTTTTCCACAGGTGAGTAGTATTTCATTTTTCTTAGAGAAATTAGAAACTTTTTAAAGCATAACTACAAATGCAATATTAAAATTCATGCGATAAAAAGAGCAAAACGGTGATTGGCATTAAGAAATAGTGAGTGTTGACTAGTAAATCTTATAGGGAATTCTATAGATATTGAGTTTATAAGATTGAGAAAAAAGGTTAGACGAGTGAATACTGTCTTTCTGAAAATTTTTGTATCCAATCACAAGTTTTGAGATAAAAATTCTTTAGTGGAAAGAAAAAGGAAGTTTTTGTATCCAAACCATCATAAGGGGATTGTGGTCAATACATTCAATCATACAAAAATTAATAGGATGATGGGGGAAATGGATGTTAAA